GTGCCTTGGGGAGCAGGCGGAGATGAGGGCTGCAAAGGGCGGGCAGAGCCCCCGTACCGAAAGCAGGAGCCGCTCGATGAAGTGTTCCCCGAAGGAGGTGCCGAAGGCTCGGTGCTAAACCGGAGCTGAGCAGAGGGGCTGTGAGAGCTGGGACGGAACGGGATGGTGTGGAGAGCTGTGCCGAAATCACTCTGCCCACTGCTTTTATTGGGGTACTAAGGCAAGGCAGGATCCAGGGAGCGTGGAATGAACGGTGAGCAAGAAACTCTGGGGGGCAGTGGTTGGGAGCGGCCTGGTGAGTGAGCTGAGTGATGAAAAGGATGCGGGGTGACAGCGGGAGAGGAAACAGGAGCCTTGGATGAAACCTACTAAACAGGCTTCACCTCTTTTTATATTAAGAAGCAAGAGCCAGAGAGAGCAAGGCCAGTGTAAGCTGAGAAATCCCTGAGGTTAATGTTTCATCTCTTTAAAAATTTGATACGTTTCTTGCCCCGGTACCACCTCAAGCCATTTTTCTGGGAACTGCAATGGTTCGTTATTGGTACTCAGATGCTTTGTAAATACAGTCTCTGCTTTCTGTAGGTATGCCCTAGAGGTCAAAGAACCGATGACAACAAAATCTGCCGGGAATGTATGGGATCGCCGGACCGCTATGACTGGCTGTACCTTGGCTTCATGGCCATGCTTCCCTTGGTTTTACACTGGTTCTTTATTGAGTGGTATTCAGGAAAAAAGAGGTTCGTGTGCCACTTCTTCAGATAAGTTATTTAAAAATGGAACTCTCATATCCATGAGTGATCCGTCTGAGGTGCTGAATCGAACTGTCCAGCAGTTCATGCTGTTGGTTGAGCTGACACGATAGCACATAAGCTTTGGGCAGCTGGAGCGGGGGTTTATTTACAAATGTAAGAGTCCTGCAGGTCCTTCTTGCCCGTCACTGCCCTCAGGACATGGTCTGTATCTCTTCAGTGTGTGGTGCCCAGTCCATCTGGCATTTTGGGCTGGATTGGGTTCGCCAGTAGTGGGCAGGAGCAGCGCGTTGCGTCATCCCTTCTCTCCTGGGCCAGAAGCCCCAGTCGGTCGTGCTGCACGTGTGCGACGAGAGAATGGCTTTGAGTTTTTTTCTTTAGGAATATGTATACTGGGTTTTGGTCCTGATAGCACAGCTGACGTAACCTTTACGTCAGCATGGTGCATCAAGGATGTTCTGTAAAACAGGGGTTTAAAACCGCAGCTGTGTGTGGCCATTAGGTGCTAGGCTGGAACTTTTAAGAAGTAATGACTCTGGAGTGTACTAAACACTGAAAACATAGGGGACTGAGAGAGTGTAATGTGTGAATATATACCATCTTTAACAAGGACTTGCAGCTTTGAAAATTTTGCTTGTATCGTATGTAACGATGTTATCCCTTCTGAGACGTGTGGCGTCTTACCCTCGCGGCTGCTTTCTTTGAAACTGCAACAGCGTGAGTCTTGCTGTCCCTCGCCTGACAGGATGCTTATGCTACAGCAAGCTTTCATTTAAGAAGCTGGAATGTAGTTCAGTCACATTTTACACACTAAATCATCTGAGACTGTAAATGAGTTTTCACACTCAGCTTCAAATATTTAACTTTTTATTGGAGCAGCGTTGTCCTATCCTTGGTCACGGTGAATATTAACTCTGTAGAAGGTTCTGTACCACATGGGCCTCCACTTTTCGGTCGGCGTTTAGGTTTACTTTAGTGTTGGCAAAATAGTAGTGAATCTCTCTCCCTCCTTCCGCAGTTCCAGCGCGTTGTTGCAGCATGTCACTGCCTTGTTTGAGTGCAGCGTTGCAGCAATTGTTACGCTGCTCGTCAGCGACCCTGTCGGCTCTCTGCATATCCGCTCCTGCAAGGTGAAGAAGCTTTCGGACTGGTATACGATGCTTTACAATCCAAGTCCCGACTACATCACCACAGTGCACTGCACTCACGAAGCAGTCTATCCCCTGTGAGTGTAAGGCTTTCGTACTCCTGTCCGTCCCTTCCTTTTACACAAGCGTGTTTCTGCCCGTCCCTCTTCTCAAAGCTGCAAAAAGTGTTCAGGTGTAACACAGACCAATGGGTATCAGTCCCCTGAAGTCTTTTCATGCATTGAGCTGTTTTATGCATGAAACACTTAGCAACACCTAATGACTTTCTGAGTCACCAAAGAAGGTGATGTAGTCTAGGCTATTTAGCTATGAAGTGTAAGACGTCATTTTTGTTCCCCTTTGCTGCACCTTGACCGTTTCACCTAGGAAAAGTGAGCCCGTCGTTCTGTGTTTACATCCTTTGGTTGTAAATTCTTTAGACTTGACTGACTCTAACCCCAAATGCCCTGGTCCTGAGTTGAGTCTGCAGGAGAAAAAGAACTGCACATTTTCAGGAATTTCTCTCTTTTTTTTTTTTCCTTCAGGTACACCATAGTGTTTATATATTACGCCTTCTGTCTCGTGTTAATGATGCTACTTCGGCCTCTTCTGGTTAAGAAAATTGCCTGTGGTTTAGGAAAGTCTGATCGATTTAAAAGCATTTATGCAGCACTGTACTTCTTCCCTGTCCTCACCGTGCTTCAGGCCGTCGGAGGAGGCCTGCTCTGTGAGTGCTCTCCTAATAACGCTAATAAGCATACCCATAAACACACACTAACAAATGACTTACGGGAGGGAGAGAGGGAAGGGACATGGCACTCTTTTTTTGCTTTGAGAATACGGACACTGTTTAAGGTTATCGTGAGGAGTCTTACCTGGAAAGGTTGCTCATTAGTAGCCCTGCCCTAACCAGGCTCCTGCCCAACACTGCTTTGCCCCTGCCGGTGCTGCTAGAGACTGTCCCTTTCCCAAAAAGGGAATAGAGGGGGTATGAGAGGAAATTACTTCAGAGGGAGTTAACTCCACTTTCCGCTAAGGTGGAGTTTGTCTGATTTCAGAGATGGGTTAAAGTATAAGTTTGGGGAGATTGCAGCTATTTTTGGTTTAGCTTCCAGCATACTTGTTGCATGAAGGGGACAGGTGCCACAAAATCCCCGCTCGGCCTACTTTTCTCATTATCTGCCTTTTTCAATTAGTGATTTAAGTGTACAGTAACTCCACCTAGAAATGCTGGCATCGACTGCATTTGACAAAAGCCAAATTTGAAAACCTAAGACAGAAGCATTGAATAGTTGTGTTTGGCTGACCCTTGCTGCTGTGTGTGCTTGATGCGATGATAAGAGGCGGGCTACAGTAGCTTAGTTTACTTCACGCCCATGGTTACACATGGAAAAACTATTTCGCTGAAATGTATATAATGCAGTCTCTTTTCCTGCTAATGTGTTCAATGTTTGCCTTTAGATTATGCCTTTCCTTACATCATACTGGTGTTGTCTTTGGTTACACTGGCTGTGTACATGTCTGCTTCTGAAGTGGAGGTAGGTAAACACGTTTCCTACGTTAAAACTCACAATGTAAAATACTTGAATGAGCAGAGACCGCTTTGTCTCTTGCCTTTTCTCAGCAGTGTATTCTGCGTTTAAGCCTCTTTCTTTATGACTTCTCCTCTTAGCTGGAGGAAGCTCCCGCGAGACTCCCCTCTTGTGGTGCACTGAGAAACTGTGTTATGTGCTGGAAGGGCTCAAACCCAGGAGGCCTCATACGGTCTCTGTGCACGACCTATAATATCTCTTAAACATCAGGTACTAGGTGACGGGCTGAATGCTAACAGGATACTGTGTTTGTTTTGCAAGTCTTTCAAGGATCTTCTTGTCAGGAAGAAAAGGCTTGTTGTCCTCTTCAGCCACTGGTTACTTCATGCCTATGGAATCATCTCCATTTCCAAACTGGATAAGCTTGAGCAGGACCTCCCGTTGCTTGCCTTGGTACCTGCACCTGCCCTCTTCTACATACTGACAGCGAAGTACACCGAGCCATCACGCATACTCTCGGAAGGTGGAAATGGACATTAAAAGGAGCCTGTGCCAACGACGCTGTCCTAATGAGCTGGATTAAGCAATTTTAGTGCTTGTTACGCTTTGGAAACTTCTGTTTTAAAAGAAGTTAGTTATGTACAAGCCTTCTGGGTGAAACACCTCTGAGTGAGACTGTGTAATATTAAAAAGCTGCACTTTGTATTCTTCACAAGTATCTGGTATAGATCGAAGGGAATGTCTTTGTACCTATTTATCACTGTGAATCTGTATGAAAAGCCGGTACAGCGGTTTGCTTGTATATGTTTATTTCCTAATACAGTGCTCTAGGTGGTGGTTGAATAAAACAATAGAGCCTGGTTTTCAGTAGACTTTCCATAAAACAAATAAGCTTGAATATAACATGGAGCTTGGTTTTCTCATCGCACACTCTAGCTTCTCTCCCCCACCAGTGGAAATAGACTTTCATCTTCCTTCCACCAAAAAAACCAGTATGTTGAGCAGTTCCTTATTTATTCCTCACGATGCTTTAGTCTGACTGCTAGGAAGGAAACGCCTTGTAACGTTCTCTATGAAGTATAGTTTATGCTCTGTGTACTTCATGTGTGGAGACCTCTTCCTGGAGATAATTAAACAGTAGTAGCCTTCCCACTAAATTTGTTTTCTTATCCCTTGACTATAATTTTCCACCTAAGATAGGATTCAAGATTTTCTTTTCCTGACAGCCTACACCTTTTGTCAGCAAACCATTTGCTGTGGGTAAGCCTGCAAAGCATCACTTATATGGGTGAAGGCTTCTCCGCACCTTTCAGCACAGTCGCCTTCCCTTCCTCCCGTGAGAGTGCTCCGTGCCTGCTTCATCCGTTTACCAGCGGTGCCAACAGCTCGCATCTTGCTGTGCGGCCGTAGCCGTACCCATACTACAGCAACAGCAGTGGTCAGACAGGACTTGAGTTTAGCAGCTGAGAAAGGAACAGCTCTTTATGCGATATCACCACTGCAGTGACAGAAACGGCTGGAATGACTGAAGTACAAAACCAGCACAGATTTAATAAAAAGAACTGGAGATTCCTTATCTCCTTAAAGAGATACCGTTATCTCTGCTCAACGTTCATCAAAATCTTTATACTTTACGTGAACACCTTGATAGGAATTGCTAAATCTTCTGAGGCTGTTCAGAAGTGAGCTTTTGGCCTTGCTGAAGCCAAATACCCACTGACAGACTCCAGCCTTCCCTCTGTGTTGTACAGGAAGATACCCAAAGTGTGTATCCTGTATGTTGGTCGCCAGTAACTTAGTGCTGTAGTAGAAGAAGGTGCAGAGCAGTGCTGAAGGTCTAAACGCGGAGGGAAGAGCAATAGGAAGATCTTCTCAACTTAAACTCTTCCCGCTGTATGGATCATTGGCTGTAGCACTGCAAATAACAGTGTACATCTCTATATTTAAGTGTGACAGTAATGCCTTTTTTATTCTATTACCTATGCACCTTACTAAGGACAGAGCCTGCCAGCAGCTCAGGGGCTTTGAGGGGTGTCGTCTCAGCCAGGCTGCCTCAAGATGTCGCTCTCCTCTTTCTCCATAGAGGGT